TTCATTATTTAAATTTCTGGATAAAATCAAATGTAACCACATGTAAATAATATTTGTTTTAAAAAGTGTGTGTGTGTGTGTGTGTGTGTGTGTGTGTGTGTGTGTGTGCGTGCATGTATGTATGTATGTATGTATGTATATATGCTTTTAGTATTTAAATTTAGAAAGATGTATGATGGGTAGCTGAATGGTTTATTATTTTCCTATAAACAATATTTATCCTTCTCTGGGGAATGTGCTTCACTGCCATTTAAACATCTATAGAGATTCTCAGTCATCTAGGCCATAGTTGTCGCAAAGGTGCTTTTCAAGAGCCAACTGGACTTTCTGGTTTTTCTTTGAAGACCTTTCGCTTCTTATCCAAGAAGCTTCTTCAGCTATGATTGAATGGTGGGGAAATAGAAGGATTTTTACTCCTTGCAGATAGCTGGTCATTCATAAATGCAGGGTACAACAGGAGAACAAACCCATCAGGACAAGATTCAGCAGTCCATCTACATTTAAAAGACAAAGGCCACTCTTTTGAAGATAGAAAAGTCCATATTTTGGACAAAGGATCACTCGTTTGAAACCACCCATCAAAGAAGTCATCCATGTCAAAATTTGAACAGACTTCTCTCAACAGAGGAGGAGGGATACGACATCATCTATCTCCAGTCTACCACACAATCCCTCCACCAGATCCAAGAAGGCTCCTCACCTGTTTGCACTACTCAGGTGACCCTGATGACACAGATAAACCTCCAGATGGACTCAATGACTATCTAAAAAGAATGCAGATGATCAGCTCTCTGCAAGGAATATACATCCTTCTATTCTGCACTATCCAGTCAGAGCTGAAGCTTTTTGGATGAGAAATGAAATGTATTCAAAGAAAAGCAAGAAAGCCCAGTTGCCTCTTGAAAAAGCACTTTGGGACATTGCCATTTAATCTTGCATTGCTGAAAATGGGCACATAAAAGCACATAATTGGCTCAGGAAAGATTGGACCAGAGAAGGTTGATTAGAGGGCAAAACCAGCAATGACATGATTGTGAAACTCCTTAACAGGAGTCGATAATGTATGAACCATTTGCCAAATTCCCAGCTGGCAATCTAATGACAGCAGGAGTGCTTTGATATCCGAAACTCTGAAACCAGTTGTAGCCATCATTTGTTCATCCCTGTCATAACTTTAAGTTTTCATTGAATGAATGGTCATAGGTTGAGGAATAACTGTAAAGATTGAATAAATATTAAGTGCCTATGATTGAAATTCTTCCTTGTTCCTATTGGCCTGAAATACAAGATAAGTATAGAAATAAACAGATTAACTGGTGGCTAATTAATAAAAGTCTAATCATTGTATCTGTCTCAATGAAGGCTTTCTTAAATATAACTGATTTTAAAAAATTGATCGGTGAACTCATTTTATGAGATGACAAGAATTATTTAATGCAGCATGTGTGGTATGAAAAGATGCTAATTGCTGATTTCAATAAGTAGGATTTTTACTAACGCTACTTTATTCTGATTGGCAGAGATGATCATATTGCGGCTTTATTAACAATGAGAGGAGATGCCAGTAGAGAGATGAAGCAGACGATCATTGAAACTTTGGACAAAGGCCCAAGCCAGCCAAATCCAAACTATGTGCCACTTTTTAAAGAAATTATAGTTCCAACACTAACTGTTCCAAAGCTTCTTAAGTAATAACAATAATTCTGTAACACTTTTCATGTCAAAATTTGCAATGTTTTAGCTTACAATGCATATAAAGAAAATATGAATTTCTTGCAAAGCTTTTTTTCTCCTATGTTAACACTTGTAACAAGCTATAAGAATATCTAATTCAATCACTGAAAAAATATATAATATGATGTCCAATAATGTTTTAGAATTGCATTTTTATCATTATTAGCGAATCCCTCCTCACTTGCATTTTTGTGTGTATTTCAGGAAAAATAAGGAGTCGACTTACGTCTGATTTGGATAAAAAATTGAAAGCAGAAATATTTGTGGGTACATAAATTATCATTAGGATTGAAAAAAGATTTTGTTAGGTGTTTGCTTAATAAATGAATAGCACTGGTGTTGCATTTTTGAATTGTGCGCAGATTATTTGGGTGTCCTTTTGTGAAACATTTAAATACTTATTACAAAAATTTCTGTAAAGAAAGGAGAAATGAACAGAAGAGTGCAAAACTGTAATACAGATAATCCTTGTTTAGCAATCACAATTTGGTCCAGAAATTCAATGATTAGGCATAACAGTTGCTAAGTGAAAATTACATGACCATGACTGTACTTACTATTTTACTTCAATTTTCCTTTGCTTGCTACTTCCTTCAGTTGAACAGAGGTACTTTTTATTTCAGATCTTAGTATGAGGTAAATAAGCAAGTAAAAGTAAGGGAAGAGAGATAACTGCAAAAGGCTGTGAATACAACTTCGGTCCCCAAATTCTCTTTACTATTGTAAATTAAGCAAATCAAGTGAAGACTACCTATAATTATAAATATTATGCTATTGTTTAGAATTAGAGGGGACAATTTAGGATATCAATCCAAAATCTTGCTCAATTTTCCCCCCCAATCAATTTCCACTCAGTTTCTGCTTCAACATACGGTATCCAGCAAAGGGAAGCATACTACCTGTTTAGATAGTTTGTGATGGACGAACTGCTCTTACTAAAATGACACTCATTGTGGGGATAGGCAGTCCCCAAATTCAAGATTAGATATAAACTATGGAAACAGGAATACTATAACTTGTGTAATAAAATTGAGTAGCAATCTGGACAATATATGTATTTTCTCTCTCTTCACCCTCATTTTTACCAAGAAATAAAATAGTTGAATTAATGTCCTAAAACTAATTTAAAATACTTCAGAGTGCCCCTAAAAACACATTCTCATGAGATCAATGCTTTATCCATAGTGATTAAACATTTTTAAAAATTAAAGGTGCAGTCTTCAGCTGTTGAAAGGTTATCGTTACACAAAAATGCATTAATAAGTCTTAACCCAAAATTTTCTGATTCAACAGAATATGACCCAGGGTTATGTTTATATTTTTGAAGTCTCATAAAATTTTCTTTTCAGTGAAAATAAAGAGAATTTAGCATATTAAATCATAATATGGTTTATTATTTTTGGCTTAGCAAAAGCATAGTCAATTAGTTTTTCAAGAAACAACAAAAAAACAATATACTATGGACATATACTATGTGCTAAGATTTCAACGTAATGCGATTTCACATGTATACTGTTTCTCTTTAATATCTCCGTAAAAATAGGACAAGCTGAATACATTGACATATAGTAGAAATACACCAAGGGGAGGAGGAGTGGGATAGAATACTTGAGAGTGGGCAGGGAATACTGAGAGAGGGCGGGAGAGAGGATGGGAGGGAGGGTGAGAAGGAAGGGAGGGAGTGGACTGGGAGAGAGGCGTGGTAGAGGGGGAGGGGAAGTAGGGTAGAGGGGAATGATGGAGGGAAGATAGTAAGTTGGACGGGGGCGGAAGAAAGAGGTGTATGGAGAGCGGAAGAGGTATATTGGGTTTCTGTTTGAGTTTGAGTTTTATTTTATTTATATTTCTGGGGGTATTGTTGACAAGAGGAATTGCTGTGATTATTGTTTAATGTTGTATGGCCCCGGTTAGGCACAGTATATATGTGACTGTATGAAAATGGAAAATGGAAAATAAAAACATTTTAACACAAAAAAGTAATAAAAAATATAAAACAATTAAATTTGTTATTTGTATACATTAACTATATAATATATTCTATATTTGATTTGATTTGATTGCATTTATATGCCACCCTATTCCCGGAGGGACTCAGGGCGGCTAACAAATCAAAGGGAGGGAATACAGACAAGGGGAAAAACGACAAACAAGCAACTACAGAAGAATTTAAAAACAATCAACAACCACACAGTTCGAGCGGGGACGGGAACTCGTCAACCCCAGGCCTGTCGCAACAGCCAGGTTTTAAGGGCTTTGCAGAAGGCCTGAAGGGTGGTGAGGGTCTGAATCTCCACGGGGAGCTCGTTCCAGAGGGCCGGAGCAGCCACAGAGAAGGCCCTCCTCCGGGTGGTAGCCAATCGGCATTGGCCGGTAGATGGGATTCGGAGGAGGCCTACTCTGTGGGATCTAATAGCTCTGTTGGAGGTAATTGGCAGCAGGCGGTTTCTCAAGTATGCAAACCAAAACAATTTCTCTTCACTTAGTGTGGCCCAGACAAGCACAAAGGTTGCATACACCTGAGCTAGATCATACAAAAGTCATATACCAGTTTAGTGTGTTGTGTCTTCATATGTGCTTTGTAGGATTCCTTTATTCCTCGAATCAATGGTTAGATCTGCAGATATCATTGGATTCATGCAAATAGCAAATTTGCCAACTATATTTTAATCTTGAGTGTCTGCAAACACAGCCAGTGAAAATGAATTTGATTCATCAAAACTATTTGCATAGCTTATTAAGCCAAATCAAACCACACATTTAATTTATCAAAGGCAGCACTGTCTGCTTGGTCCCCCAAATTTGGGCTGCAATCCAGGTAACAGCACTTGGCAGCAAAGCAACGCAGAAAAATCCCTTTGTTGCTCTCGGTGGTCCTGGTATCTATAAACCAGCTCTAATGCCTCCGATGACTTCCATAATCCTGTGTCTCAAGCTTGGCAAAATTAACTGGTTGGCTGGGGAAATCTGGGAGTTGGAAGTCTACCCATCTTAAAGCTGTCAAGTTTGAGTCACGGCCCGAAACGACACCATTTGACAAACATTCCATAATGTGTATAGTTAGACTTAATTAGGTAACAACCATATGTAAGGGAAATTGGCTCACACAAACATACTTAGGCCAAGCCCATGTTTTTTTCCCCGCTCACGCTTGGATGCATATAGACAACACTTTCAGGCACACAAAAAACAGTAGAAATCGGCTTTAGAATCTTCTTTTAGTCCAGCCCCTTCTCAGAATTCCGCCTGCTGAATTGGGTGCGTCACGACTTGTGTCAGAGAAGCAGAGGTGGCTGGTTCCTCTCTTCCCACCGAAGCTCGGACTGAAACCCGGAACTGGTTTTGAGGAGGCCTCTTCCTTAACGAGTAGGGGTGGGGTTGGTTTTCTTCTTTCCGCAGCTATTCTGATGCGGCATGGCGTCTGTCGGCATGCCTGATCCGAGCTTCTTGTGGGGAGTCTTCCAAAGGTGAGTCGGGTGAAGTTTCCCTTTTTCTCTAGAGAGAAGGGCGACAAAGCTGAATCGGTGAAGGCGCCTTCGCTTCCCCCCTTTTGCGCCGGGAATTCTTGATTTGAGACTTCTTTGCCCTGTTCTTGGCCCGCGTCGTAATTTGAATATTTTCTTGTACTTGATTTCAGGGTTGATAAAGACCGTAGCGGTATCATCTCCGACACCGAGCTCCAACAAGCACTTTCAAACGGTAGGATGCCCTCTTTACTCCCTAGAACTGCTTCTCTGGTGACACGAACGCCGATTGCGTTCACACAACTCCGTTTTTTAAATGTTTCACTTAAACATACTGCGTTTGATTAACCCAGTTTGTTGAGTTCGTGTATCTTGCTAGGTTTAAACGTAGTTTATTACTCGGTGCTTTAGTGTTTCTGGAAAGCACACTATCTCTCCCTCTCCCCTGTGATGTGTATTGTTGTATAATAGTGTTTTCTTATTACAATATGAATAATCAAAAACTGGAATGATAAATGTAATTAAATTCAATGATAACAATTGGAACTTGATAAATCAATTCCTAGAAAAATACCCTTCTAAAATGACACCGCGATTCTAAAAACTAAAATTCAGTGTAGCTTATTTATAAATTACTTACACCTTTTTGGTTTTCTACTTACAGTTATAAATTTTGATTAGAATGATCTCAAGCTAAATTATTTTTCTAGGAAAATATGGAGGCAAAATTCAATGTTTTATTACTTCTAGTGTGAATTGCCTAGAGATTTTTGAGATGAAAGAGCACAACTTGCTACTCTCAAAATAGCTAAAGAGGGTAAGTTCCTAAAGAGGAACCACCAAAAATCCCAAAGATTAAATAAAGACATCAAAAGAACATTCCATAGGAAGGCAATGGCAATTTCCTTGTTGCTAAGAAAATTTTATGAGCATGTCCAAGTAGTCACCAGAAGTCATTCAGTTTGCTTTATACATTAAAAGACATTTTTGCTTGTGGTAGCCTTCAAATGGAGATATGTATGAAAACTATGATAATTCATAGTTTTAAATGAATATTTGACAATTCAAATATTCAAGTCAGAATATTTAGTTGAAACACAACAGTTAAAATAGTTAATTACAAAAAGGGTGAAAGTCCTAGTGATTGATTAATTTTAAAGAACAGTGAACCAATTAAGTATAAAGAAATATACAAACTTGTGAAAACTTGTTTCAAAGCTGGTGCCACTAAATATGATAAAGTTTTATAGGAGGGTTCTTAAATTTTGTTTTAAGCGGAAGAATTTTACTACAATATGCTTTGATAATTTGATTAAAAAAGAGATTTTTTTATTTAAAAAATATCTAAATGTTATTTTCCAGTTATATTTAACAAATAATGCAGAAACATTTTCTTTATTGTATTCTATTATTACAGGGAAAACAATTTTGAAGTAATGTAGTTTTTAGTTTGTGGTGAATCATGTAAAGAAAAGATTTTGTAACATCTGTAAAGAAAAGATTACAGAAAGTTTGTGATAATGATCTGAAACAAGTGAAAGAAACAGCTTTTCTTTGTGTTTGCTCAAATCAAGTTGTTTCACAATATAAGAATTTTAAGAATTAGTTTAGTATCTTGAAAGTTATAACAGTATTTATTATAACTGACATTAGAAAGTAGGGTCATGGACTTAGGCAATGAGATTCTTTTGCTGGATCACATTTTAAGTTTATTAATTTTTTTTTGTTTAGTTTCCAGTATTTTAAGAAGATTTTTTTAATTATCCAGGTTTCTGTTTCCATACAATCAACAAACTTGATATATAATTGCAATACATTTGTCTACACTGTGGTATAGGAAAAGGATATACTTGTTTATACTGTTATATCTGAAAATTGCAATTATTTTTAATTTTGTGGCAGAAATGAAACCTATTATTCAACATCCTTTTATATATGGGACAAAGCTTGTACTGCAATATTCTGTCCAACCTATTACCAATTTTGGTTATTCATATCTTCAATAAATGCTGATGAAATGACTTGTCATGCTCATACGTAATGTCTCCTGTGATTAATGGAAATAGCATTATTCATCTCCATTTAGAATACTGTAGACTAATTAATATTCAGTGTGTAACATGACTACAAAAAAACCAGCAGTTTAATTTTTTTTTGGCCAATCTTATTTTAAGTGTTGTATTCAACATACTTACTAAGCATATGTGAACAATAAATAGGGCAATCTGGAACAAACCAGTGCAGAAAAATTAAAAGTGATTGATGGCTAGAAATTATAAAGGAAGATGGAAGTAATCGGAAATAATTAGTTTTGAGAAGACAGAATCATGCATGGACAAAATGGATAGCATTCTGCAATAATATAAAATACATTAATCCATGATCAACCCTTTCTCATTACAAAGGGCAGGTCATGGAATATGGGCTTAAATAACAGGAAGGCAAAGTCAGCTGATTATTAAAAATAATAATTATTATTTTATTATTAAAAATAAAAATGGGGTCCATTTTGCTGGTCTCCATTGAATTGTTTACAACAGTTTGTTTATATTTTCTTTTTGTTTGCTAGAGTTTGTGATTGCATGTTGGTCATATATTTATTGTTGGAATTATTTGTGTAGAACTGTTAGAACCAAAGAAAAGGTCACAGATTGTCTTGCCCAACGCCCTTTTCAGTGCTGAATGCTGTGTAGTCTTCTCTTGAATACCTACAGTAAAGGGAGTTCATCATCTTTCTAAGTAAATGCTTCCATCGCCAAACTATGTTTAGTTAAACTATGGTTAGCTATGTTTATCATATGGATGATAAACACTAATACTTTTTAAAATGAAATACCTGATAAGGATTTTGCTAAAACATCTGTTGGGCATGAAACAGAGAGGATATTAATAAAACATATGAACTTGAAATTGCATTGTTTCCCCTTGCATACTTATATGCTATTGTTCCTTGTGAGTTGAGAATGAACCAATTCCACAGTTGAGTGTTCTATGAAAAAATTAGGAAAAGATGGATTCCATCTTTGATCAGCGTTCATTGGAAATTAAACTTATGTTGTTTTCTATTGATGCGTATACTGTATATCTTAGAGTTATAGATCAACATCTATAATTTAGAAGATATAGAGCAACAATTAAACTATATTACAAAAAAAAACTACAGGTATATGAGGAAGAATTGAATAATAAAAATATTAAGACATTCAAAAGGAATTATTTTACTTATTAAATTGGATAAATGTTTGGAAAATAAGGTATATTTTAAAAATCAGATTTAGGGAATTTTATACATCTGATTTAATCAATTGAAGTATGTAAAACCAAAAGAAAGAGAATTCCCCATTCAGTGGGAGTGGGAGGAGGGAATGAATATTACACCATCATGTTATGCCATCATTTGCATGATTGTGAGGAAACTATTCCTGGAAAATTGAAGTGGGGACAGTTGGCTGTAAGGAAAATGAAGACTGTGCTTTCCATTAAGATATTTTTTCTTCATATAGTTTTGCTCTTGTTACTCCAGGATACATATTGTAGAGTGTAACTTGAATAGGTACTGATGAGACAGGTTACCAGTAAATAGTTTGACTACTCAGTTCAATGCAAAATATCTTCAAAGTAATTGCACCTGACTTATCTGCTTCTACAGCCTAGGACAGTGATGGGCAACCTTTTTGGTGTGGTGTGTCAAAAATCGGCAAAAAATCGAGCATAACTCNGGGGGGAAACAAACAATTAACACATAAGACAATACATCATTAAAAGCACAACATTCATACTATTCGGGTGGGTTACGGTCTTTAACCCCAGGCCTGACGGGATAGCCAGATTTTAAGGGCTGTGCGGAAGGTCTGGAGGGTGGTGAGGGTACGAATCTCCACGGGGAGATCGTTCCCTCAATAAAAACAACCAGAAAGAACCAACTAAAAAAATTGTACTGGCTATGAAAAATGATCAGAACAGGCTCCTGCAAGCATATGGTGAGAAGACATAGAAAAAGGTTTATTTGTTTATAGGTTATGGAATAAATATATATCATTATTACATGAGGAAAAATTATTCCATATGTAAATATTTAATTTCATATTTACTTTATTGGTGACAGAACTGTAATAAAATACTGAACAATGGGTAAGGTTCTTAATAAATGAATATAATGTATGTAAAAGTAAATGATTGCCTAACTTAATTGAGAGTTAGGATTTATTAGTACTACTACTTTAATAAGCTTTAATTGTTCAATTGCTAATCATTTATCACTTTGAGATGTTCTTGTTTCTATGTGTACCATATAATGTTTTCTCTTTCTTTTAGGAACATGGACTCCATTTAATCCAGCAACTGTAAGATCTATTTTATGTAAGTAATATTTGAACTGCATTTGTTAAATACTTAAGGTTGCACTTGTCTGAAGTGGGAACCAAAATACTAGCCTTTTTTGCTTTATTAATTTAAATAAATACAGGTAGTCTTAAACTTACAACTAAATGTTTAAAGGTTGATTAAAATTATGACAGACTTGAAAAAAGCTATTTACCCCTGTAGTCAAAGTTACAATTATCATTTTGGGCATTTGACAACCAACTTGTATGCCAGTTTCTAGCAAAAACAAAAAACACCCCCCCCCCCACATCCATTCAAGTGAATGGATTTGCTTAATGACAATGTGGTTCAGTTAATGATCATGTTATTTACATTATGACCATATGTGATTTGTTTTTACAATCATCATAAAAATGTATAACATTGAATTTCGTCATGTAATGCTTCAACTTAACAATTGCATTGGCTTGCAATAAAAATGTCAGGTTCCATTGTGGCTGTAAATTGAGGACTATCTGTAAGTTTATTGTTGTAACCACAGGTCATAGCAACTTTATTAATTAGCATTGGGATCCTTCAGGTAGTCACGTTTTTCTGCCTCTCAGAAGACATTTTTGAAACTTTGGTTTATTCATCTTTTTCCAATTCATGATTCTAAATGTTTGAAATATTATTAATTGATACAAAGAGCCTCTGTAGGATCCAGTCCTTTCATCAGAATGAAAGCAGCATTATACATTCACAATAGAAGCTCTGCCCTTTTTATGTGTGTGTACAGCAACTGCTTTTTTTCTTTTCTTTTGTTATTGTTTCATTCATATATACTATATATATATAGTTTCTTCTGCTTTATTAAATAAAGACAAAAAAAGCGATGGAGCTTGCTTCACATACTGTTGCTTTCATCATTTGTCCCCTTGAATATCTTTTAAAGGGAGCATATAAAGAAACCTTGATTTCCCACTCCATTTAAATTAGTAAAACGTTTTCATCCTTCCATATTAAGATTTTGCATAATTATCAGATAGGCTGAAGTAAGATATTGCCGCTTATATCACTACCCAATTAATATTGCCAATGACATCTGTAGGGTATATCTGCCAAAATCAACATGATGGTTTATGGAGGGTGACAATGCAAGTGTTACTTTTTTTCAACCTGTGTTGCTAATGTCACATGTAAAATGGGACAGGACTTGTATCCTTGCAAAGTTTGACACAAATATCCTGCAGATTCTGCTAAATTACAGTATTTCATAAAAGATATAACTAATGCTTATAATTTCAAGAAAAGATGTAACATGCAAAAAAATTCATGGTTTACTGTGTATTTCTCTTATATTCATCTGTTCTTAAACTATGGTAACTAATGGAGGTCTTTACAATGAAAGACCTCCATTAGTTTGAATTGCTCTTTAAAATGGTTGAAACCAAACTTTTTTTCTCGAGTTCTAGGGATTCTATATTTTCACCTGCATAGGAGCTGCTTTTGGAGTTTTGTTTTGACATAAAAATGGAAAATAATTTCAGCACAATTGGCTTTTTCTTTGAAATACTTTATTTATTTACTTTTACTTTCTCCTAATTTAAATTTAATTTAAATTTAATAAATTAAGAAATGGTAAATTACAAATACATTAATATTTAGATTAATCTAATATTTAGAATAATTAAGATTGATTATTTTTTCAGCTATGTTTGACAGAGAAAACAAAGGTGGTGTAAACTTCAATGAATTCACAGGAGTCTGGAAATACATCTCTGACTGGCAGAATGTTTTTCGCAGATATGATAGAGACAACTCTGGAATGATTGACAAACATGAATTAAAGCAAGCCCTAACAGGTTTTGGTAATTCATTGTAATTATTACAGTATGTAATTTTGGCAAATAGCTTCATGTAGCTTTCCCAGATGTATTGACTTCAACTTTCAGAATTTTCAGTCATTGTCAATCAGACTGAAGAGTTCTAAGAGTTGAATGCCACACATCTGGAGGATACCCAGCTTGGAATAGGTTGCCATTAGGTATTTAAATTAATTAACGCTTATAATCAATATATTTAATAGTACATTAATCAGAAGTTATTTAGAACTTATTTCACAAAAAATGTGATTGTGGAATCATAGTTGCAATATAGGGTCCATATGATGCTGCCCTTGAAGAGTATCCAGAAACTTCAATTGGGGCAAAATGCAACAGCATGAGCAATTTTAAGTGTTTCTAGTATAATACACATTACACTTCTGCTCTGCCAGTTGCATTTGTCACTGTGTCCTGGTGCAATTTAAGGTGCCAATTTTGTCTATTATAGCCCTGACATGGGACTGAGTTTTTTGGGGGACCATCTGTCCCTAATTACAAACCAAAATGAAGGGATTAAGATTATTAAAAGTATGGGGAAGCGATATAGTTTATTCAATCAAGTTTATAAAATAGTTTGGCAGTTATTTTTGGTGGCCCTGTTCGCTAATTAGAAATTAATGAAGAGGATTTAATATTTAGTCAGTACTGTAGTCATTTCTGTAAGTGAGAATTATTGGAAAAAGAGTTCACCTCTCTGAGCACTGGAAAGAAAATCACATAATATGTCCCCAAGAGGAATCAATAGGCAAAATGTCAAGTAGAACTTGATAACTTGAATGTCATTAAAGTGCCAAAAAACTGAGAAGATACTTTTTTTAGTTTTTTCTATACATAATTTATAAGAGATTACATATTAAATTAACTAACTACAAGTCAGTTTACTGAAGATTTGAAGGGGATGTTTTAAAATGAACCATCTTTTGAACATTGTTATTTAAAGCCTGCTGTACCATTCATTTCGGATTTTGAATTGGATCCAAAATCCATTTTAAAGTATTACTATAAATGTGAATGATACTTGGTAGAAAATGTTAAGAATATGGATGCTTGTCCACTAATTTTACAAAATATTTGAAGATTTTGCATACACACAGAGAGATACATAGCGAGAAGGGAGAGAAAAAAAGAGAAATCTGAAACAGCTTGTAAAGATGTCTTTATAATTTGAAAATAATAATAATATTTTATTTGTCACTGCACAACATATGTACAATGAGATTGATTATTGCATGACATATAATAAAAAGTAGGAAAGAGGAAAAAGCATATCCATTTTTAAAAGTATATTTTATGCCCAAATATTTAGATTTAAAAGGGCATTGTTTTTATTCCAGTAGAATAGTATGATTGGTTACATGGAATCTTTTTTTGAAGTATAGCCTCTCACACTTCAGAACCAAGTTTTCTGGTGAGGTGTTTGGGCTTGATGTTTGCTTCTCATATGAATGAAACTGTCTTAACTGTAAACATTTTCCAGTCACTCATTGTGGAGAGCTTACATTCCTCTGAGGAATAAAAGGAATAGATTTGAGTATAATTTTCAGTAAAGTATAGAAACATAAGAATTTCAAACGTGCTTTTTCAAGAGGCAACTGGACTTTCTGGTTTTTCTTTGAAGACGTTTTGCTTCTCATCCAAGAAGCTACTTCAGCCTGGGATGGAGAAGAACCAGGAAGTCCAGTTGCCTCTTGAAAAAGCACCTTTGGGACAACCATGACCTGGATGACTGAGAATCTCCATAGAGATTTAGCAATATATTACATAAGCTTACAGAAATCTGTAAACTCCCCACAACATTTCCCCTTAGGTGCCTACGTTATTCTATTTAAATGCATTTCCTGATACAGTAGAATGGCTTGCTGAGTACATACTATTTGATATTCAGGGTTATTATTTCTTCCTATGTCAATTATTTTAATTCCTGCACATTCTTATGAGTAATTATTTCAAAAACTGATTGTATATTCAAATAACACACCACTATTTAAAAACACACAGTGTACCAAGATTTAAATTTAGTTACCGTAATTTATCAATTCAGGAAACAATATTGTTTATGTTTTCAGCCATAACTTTTGTTACAATGGTAATAGCACTTAGATTTACATAATGCTTCACAGTGCTTTACAGCACTCTCTAAGCAGCTTACAGAGTATATTGCCCCCAACAATCATTTTACTGACCTCGGAAGGATGGAAGGCTAAGTCAATCATGAGCCGCTCAGAATTGAATTCCTGCAGTGAAGAGTGACTTAGTCTGCAGTACTGCATTCTAACCACTGGGCCAGCATGGCTCTTGTCTGTGACAAATCACAGTATGCTATAGGATAAGCTTGATTTTTTCATAAAATAAAAAGGTGTCAGGTAGCTCTAAATGATCTGATTAAACCACTTTGGTTCCATTGTTCTCTCATACGTGAAACTTTCTAGTTTTTTTTCTAATTTGCTTATGTAAATCTCATTTATGTAGATGGCTGCAATTATAGAATGTAATTATTTTAAATTTTGCTCATTAACATTTCCAATTCTGTTAAGGATACCGGCTGACTGACCAGTTCTACGATCTCTTGATTCAAAAATTTGATAGGCAAAGAAGAGGGCAAGTGGCTTTTGATGACTTCATTCAGTGCTGTGTTGTGCTTCAGGTAATCATAGGCTGGGGGATATAGAGAGGCCAGATGAAGACAGATAATCAAATTGTTTCAAGTATGCAAATGAAAACAAGTATATAAAAGTTTGAATTCAAACACAGCTTTTTGTTATGGACCACTGACTTTGTGGTTTTATCCAGCCAGCCCTTTATCTGGATCCTAACTGCTACTTTCATTGTCAAAAACTATAGAAAAAAATATTTCCCCTTCCAATTTAGATTTCAGTATGTGCATCATATCTGTTTTATGGTTGTTGTATGCATTTTATATAATGAAACACAGATATTTTATTTGCAGACAATTTGACATTAACCTTTTTCTTCCAGAAATGGACAGATGTCTTCAGACGCTATGATACTGATCAGGATGGCTGGATACAAGTGTCTTATGAACAGTATCTTTCTATGGTTTTCACTGTTGTATGACAGTAATTATTGTGTGTGATTGAGGAATAGAACTTTCATACAGGTAGTTTCGACTTACAACCACAATTGAGCCAAAATTTCTGTTGCAAGGCAAGGCAGTTATTAAGTGACTTGTTCTCCATTTTTTACTTCTTTGCAATCACTGCGGTTATGAAGTGAATCTTGCAGCCATTAAGTGAATCTGTCCCCTCATTGACTTTTCTTATTGGAAGCCAGCTGGGAAGGTTACAAATGGTCCTCACATAACCCCAGAAAAATGCAACTGTCTTAAATACATGCAAGTTGCAAAGTGCCAAGTGACCATGGAGATGCTGCAAAAATTGTAAGTTTGAAAAATGGACGTGTCACTTTTTTCTGTGCAGCTGTAAATAAGAATAGTCACTAAACAAATGGTTGTAGGTCAAAGACTACCTGTACAAGAAAAATAGATTACTTTCCTCCATACAATACAATATATGTTTAGAAACACATTGCTTAAATATTCTGTTTCTCATTGCAAAAGGTGCTATAGCTACCAGATTCTGCATTATATCATGTATATTTTATTGTTGGAAGTTATCTTTAAATGCCAAAAAGTAGAATTCTTATTCAGATTTGCACATTATTGCATGTATCTTTTTAACATATAAAATAGAAAATAAATGAAACATTTATCCTGTGTCTTCACAAAAGTAATGACCTTAAATATGTTAGATGTCAAGATAACTAATTTGTATTTTTCTCCCCTTTAGATTAGGTTTCATCTGCTTGTATGATTTATCATTTTTTTAAAAAAGAAATTAGTGTTACTCTTTTTCCTGGGATTTTTTAATTCTGGGTAAGCAAAGAGATTTATTACTAAAGCTGAATATTTCTTCTTTTTCTTTATCTTTTGGTATAATAAAAAGATTTTCTGCCTTTGCTCTCTGGCTTAGAGATATAGCTGGATATAAATACATGCCTGCCGTCATTATGTGTATGAAATGTTTTATAACTAAGCATGTTGCAATTTTGAATGGAGTTTTATCTTCAGTAGTCACTATGCTTAGGATGTGGTACTAGCCTAAATAAAACCATTCTATATGCATTAAGATCTACTCTACTCTGGAATGGTACATGGCCACATAAAGACTGCATGTCTAATTTACCATGTCTAATTTACTAACTGCATGGAGTTTCTGCATCATTCTATCTTTAGCATGACAATCAACTATTTACTTCCTCTATCTTAGACTACAAAACAGAAAATTTACTGAAACAAATTTTATTCTTTTAAATTTCCTGGAAGAGTATTAGTCTTGATTTACATGGCGAATTAAAACCTAAATAGAGCACATAGCCTCTTTTAAGATATACTGATATATATATATATATATATATATATAT